ATGATGAAGGAAGATGAAGAAAGGGAAGAGAAGAAAAACAAGACGAAGAAGGAGGTAGGCATTGCCTTCAAATCCACAAATGAAAGCTATCAAGATTCAAGTGATGAGGTAGATGAAGACGATGATGAACAAGAAGAAGAGATGGTCAAGCTCTTGAAGGAACTCAAGAGATTCATGATTTCCAAGAAAGTGAAACATGAATCAACCAAGAAGAAGAGTCCCCCGATATGTTTCAATTGTCAAAGAAAGGGGCATGTAAAGTATGAATGCCCTATTCTAAAGAAAAAGGGGAAGAAGGCATTTGTTACATCTTGGAGTGATGAAGATGATTCCAATGATGAAGATGATTCCAATGATGAAGATGAAGTAGTCAACCTATGCCTCATGACCACTCAAGAAGAATTCAAGGTATCTTCTAACTCAAATGAATTTAATTCATTTACTTTTGATGAGTTACAAGATGCTTATAATAGGTTGTATTTGGGATTTGAGACCATGAATTCCAAAAATACGAAATTAATTTCAAAACTCAAAATTAAAGATAATTAGATTTTAAAAAATAATTTAGAGCTTTCAAAAATCAAAATAAATGATTTAGGAAAAGAAAATTTTGAGTTAGGAGTTAAGCTTGAAGGCTTAACAAAAGAAAAAGAATTAATTTCTAAAAATAACCTATTATGTTTAAAAATGGCAAAATGCTCACATTGTCATTTTTTTGGTCATTTGGAGCATACTTGTCCTTTAAAGAAAGAACACCATTTTAAAATTAGACAAGTATGGGTTCCTAAGGGAACAAGGGGCATGATATAGTCAAGTTCCTCCTGGGCACCGTGTGAAAGTTTCAAGAAACGATGTCGGTCAACCTATTATCCCAGAAGCACGTCTTCTATCCGGTTACTTAGGCATGATTGGACGTAATACTAATCTTTTACCGATCAATTATGAGTCATGGCATGAAATGCCTAATAATAAAAAAAATCAAGCTTTGGATTTTTTTAAGGTAATAATGTCATTATAATAGATAATCTATAACAATTCAATAGTAATTTAAACTTACTTTAAACACCTATGTTATGTGTAGGAGAAATTTTCTTTAGAGGTCTTTGACAATTATTTGAAGCAAGCGTTAGGGGAGAGATGGAGAGACCACAAGATTTCATTAAAAAAGAAATACTTCAAGAATGATCTCACCCTTAAAGAGAAACTACAAACTGTCCCACCTGGAATGCTCAGGTATCAATAGGAAGATATAGTCAAGTTTTGGAGTTCACATAAAGGACATGTATGATGTATTTTTTGATAATAATATTAACGAATTATAATATTGACTTTATAAATGGTTGTTTGAAATTGTAGGACCGAGAACATGCTGGTGGTGCTAGCAGACAACAACAAAAGTTTACTCACACAGTTTGATCGAAGAGCTTTTCTTGTATAGCTAATGATGAGGTATTATAGATTATTCACATAGTGATTTACAGTTCCCATGCACATACTAACAAAAATTAATTATATTATTCTAAATTGTAGGAAAATACATCTGGTTCTAAAGTTGGACGAATCAAACTCTTCGACATGACACATACAAAAAAGGATGGCACTCATATGGATGCTGAAGCTGTAGAAATTATGGTACATTTATTGGACAGATGATTTGAATTATGTTTTATTTATATCTATAATATGACATTCTTATTTGAAATAATTATTTACTTTCTTATTAGGAATAATTGAGGGATAAAAGGGTGGAGTATGATGCTACGGCTTCAAGTCATGGTCTTGTTAACGCAGATGACATCGAAAATCAAATTATTAATGACGTTTTAGGTCCTGAAAGATATGGTCGGGTTCGTTGTCAAGGATCATTCGTTACTCCCACCAAATATTTTGGATCCAGTTCATCTCAATACATGTCATCACATACTCAGTATTCCCAATTAGAAGTTGTTTAAACCAACAATTGGTTGAAATGGATAAAAAATGGCTAACATGAAAGCCGAAAATGAAGCGAGGTAAGAAGAGAGAGAAATAACATATCAGCAGAAATGTCAAGAATTTGAAAATCGACTAGAAGCCATGATGCAGATGATACGAAAAAGTTAACCTCAGAGCCCACCATCTTAGGTATTATTTCTGTTATATGTTTTGTTCATTCTACTTAACAATGTTGAACTGCATTACATATTACTTTAATATAAAATTTTATTTACTATAATGGATTTGAAGTTGGTTGTTATAGAATTAAAGTTTGTTGTTATAGATGTCATGTTTGTTGGATAATAGTACAGGTTGAAAATTTAATTTTTGGTAACAGAAGAGCGGAAATCAATGGTTGCAAAATATGTGTTAATTAGCAGCTTTTGTATAAAAAATGCAGCTAAATACATAATAAATACGGCGTTTTAAAAAAAAGCTACTAAAGTTTTAGATATTTTACGACGTTTATGACTAAAAATGCCACTATAAAATTGTCAATAACGGCGTTTTACTATGAAAATGCCACTAAAGTGTTAGATAATTTACGACGTTTATGACTAAAAACGCCACTATAAAATTGTCAATAGTGGCATTTTTATAGTAAAACACCGCTATATGTCATGACCTTTACCGACTTTTTTTGGAAAAAACGCAACTATATGTCACAACATTTAGCAACGGTTTTTTACAAATGCCACAAAAGGATAATATATATAGCGGCATTTCTTAACAACGCCGCTAAAAGTCATTATCTTTAGCGACGTTTATGGAACAAACACCGCAAAAAAATCATAACTATTAGCGGTGTTTTAGACTAAAAATGATGCCACCTTTTACGGCGTTGGTTTCAACGGCGAATTTGGCAGTGTTTTTTTTCCGCCACAATAGTTTTTAGAGGCGTTTTTTAACGATGCTAAAAACTTATTTTGTTGTAGTGTGTCAACATCAAATGAAAGAGAACAAAAGATGAAAAGGAGAGAAATTATGGTTAACTTCTCTATTTGGTATAAGTGACTGATGTGAAGGCGTAAAGTATCATCTTTCAAGCTTTGTTTAGGTTATTGATAACTATCAGATAAAAGAAATGAAGTATTTGGATATATTTTAATAAAGTAATCCATGTAGTTAACCTTGTTAAAATTCATTGTAAGCATAAATCCAAGTTGTTTCTAGATATGTTGCTATAAATTATGACGAAAAAAACTACATAAAATTAATCATTTGCCTCTTTTATCATTTGATTTTGCTGCACATATTCTAGAACTAATTAACACATTTCCTTTTGAAGGTTGCTAATTTACATTCTCCAATTGAATACTCGAAGTAAGATGGAGTATTAATCAACTGAAGTTGAAGATTAATGCTCAAAATTTCCACTTGAAGAATGTTTTTATTTTATTTTATTTATTTTATTGAACAATGTTTTTTAATTGAAAGAGATAAAACTTAGACTCAATTCTAGTGAACAATGTTAAACTACATTACATTTAATTTTGATGTTTATAAACTTACCTTATTTTGTTGTTAAGTATTTTTCTACATAATTTGTGTCGTAATTAAATTTTAAGCTTGTTGTTAATTAGATAATGCTACATAATATTAAATTTTGGTAATATAGAGTAGAAAATAATATATGCAAAATCAATTAATCATAGTGGCCATTTGTAAACAAATGTCACTAGAACCACACACTTTTTGTGGTGTTTTATGAAGGATATGCCACTACTGGTGTATAAATTAGTGGCATTTGTTATCATAAACACCGCTATATAACAACATATAGCGCGGTGTTTGAGAAAACAGACGCCACTACAGACAAAGTACTTAGTTGCGTTTGTTTCCAAAAAGCCATTATAGAACTTGACTTTTTGCGGCTTTTGTTTCAAAACGCCACTATAGATCTTGACATTTTTGTTGTGTTTTTTGTTCACAAACACTACTAAATGTCGTGGTGTTAGCTTTAGCAGCTCTTTTTGCCACACTTTTACTAGAAACGGGAAAGTTTTTAGCGTCGCTTAAAAATGCCGCTAAAAATTTGTTTTAGTTTGATGTATTTGTAGATTGTTACTTTATAGTTTAGACATAAAATTACTTCTTAAACTTTTTTTGATATTTTTTATTTAAATTTAATAATTTATGTTTATATTAAGCTCTATATAGTATTAGTAGATTTTACCTATAATTATAAAAACAAGGTAAACTTTCTAGTGAGTTTAACAAGCAATGAGTCAAGCAACAAGCTTAACGAGCAATGAGCAACAAGTCGAGTAGCGAGCTTAATGAGCAACGAGCAATGAGTTGAGCAACAAGTTATTTTAACGAACACGTGTCGAGTAAAATTTTTCCTAGTTTAACGAGCAATGAGTCAAGTCGAGCATAATGAACACAAGTCGAGTACTGCCCAACTCAAGATTGACTAGCTCGATAAGGACCCCTAGTTGTGACCATGAGCGCCAATCTAATCTATCACGCTAGAGCTAAGCATATATAGATGAATGTTCACTTTGTGCGTAAAAAAGTTACAGCTAAACAGGTTCTTTTCAACTATGTACCAGCCGGTCATCAAGTTGCTGATGGGTTTATCAAGTCCTTGTCCATACCCTTCTTTGAGTAGTTTCTTTTGAAGATTGGTGTTCAATCTATTTAAGGGAGGAAGAAAAAGTAGGGAGAATGTTGAGATATTAGGAGTTAGCATGCAGTTACTGCGATTAGGGTTGATATGCAAGTTTGTTAAGGTTTAATTAATTTCTGTAAACCCTATATAATGAAGCCAGGTGGCTATGACTGACTCAATGAAGTTTAATAATTTATTTCTGTTCTTGGTTGTTCACTTCTCCTTTATAGCTTAACAAGTTTCTTTGATATTCCAAGAGTTTTTTACTCTGGTTTTGAGCAGCTTATTGATTGTATTAACCTTTTATTATTGATATAAATATTTGCTGAGCCAAAAATACCCTCTGAATTAGATGTTCGCTAATTGAAATGAAAATTTATATTTTAAAATGAACAACCTTGTGCTTGAATTTCTTTATTCAATTCCAAAGAAATACAATATTTTTAATTACAAATATCTAAACTCATCTCCAATCATTATCACTTATAAAACGATAGGTTTGATACATTTTATTTATTTGAAAATTTGGAAGTCGAATATTTATTCTTACAAAGTTACGCATGGAGAACCGGCAGTTGATGATTTTGCTTTAGGTAGCCTCCTCGATCTGAAAGCAAAGGGGCCTCATTCAGCTTAGCTTTTCTTGGGGTCAAGCTTATTTTTTATTTTGTCGACTTCTTTGGTGCCGACTTGGAAGGCCTTGGTCAAGACATTGTTCGGTACTGGAGGTGTTGAAGTAAACAACGTTGCGGCAATCGATTGAGTTCCGGGTAGCTGACTGTTAAAACCTGCAATAACAGAAGCTGGCTTCTCACCGTTGTTCTTCTGGAAATGCACCAATCCCTTGGGGAAAACAAAAACGTCGCCTTTCTTGACGGATTTGGAGATCAGCTTGTTTGATGTAGTGATAAACCCAACATCCAATGCACCATCAAGGACAAAGATGATCTCGGTGGCGCGTGGGTGAGTGTGTGGTGGGTTAAGGCCGCCTGGTTGATAGTCGATGCGGGCAAGCGACGCTCCAAGTGTATTAAGCCCTGGAATTTTCTCAACATTTGCTCCGGTTGCCACTGATCCCACTGAGTTGTTGATAACTCCAGGATTGGCTAACCCGCTAAAGAAGAAATCAGCTTCCGTTACTTTTGCTTCGTCTTTGCATGGAAAACCATTTACCTTTATCCCTGCAGGTGCATATATATATATATAAATGAAAAGAAAACAACACATATCTATACACAGTTGTACTACGTAAACGTTACCTGCAGCTTTGTTAGCTACGCAGAGATCCTGGAGAAGATCGGGATCAGCTGCAACCATGCCAGAGAGGGCAAGAAAGATGAAGAAATATGAAGAAACCATGGCCGCCATGAGGATAATTACAAGAATAAAGGGGACAATTTTCTAGATAAAAAGAAGAGATGTTTTTTATTTCAATTTGTTGGAAGAGAAAGGGGCTATCTACTTTATATATGGAAAACAAAATGTGTACAGATGATAGATGTGAGGATGAAGTTTGGAAAACAAGGTTCTTCAACTTGAAAGAAAAGCAATTAGTAATTTCATTCAAAACTTCACCATCTTTGACCCCAGATTGCAATATTTTGTTTCTATGAAAATGATAAAATAAGACAGATTGAACTGTTAATAAAACATACATCCATTGACAGCGAAACAGAAGGGAAAACACGACAAGCGTCCATCACGCCGGTACCTACTACAAGCAACCCAGATTCTTAGAAGAAAAAAAGGAGTTGGTGTGATAGCAGTTGTTGAAGAGGTTGAATTGTCCTATCGGCTTTAGCTTACCTTACATGCCTGTACAAGATCATAAGCGGTTGGCTCATGCATGCTTAATTTTAGTTCTGGCAACTATAACCTTTAGATAACGTAATTGGTTGCATCTTGGCTTTAATGAAAAGCGAAGGAAAAAAAGAAAAGGTTCCATCTTCGAAAGACTTTCGGCACCACAATGAATGGTAGAAACTGATATTGACGGATATCGGTAGATGTTTCACATATTCAGCTGAACATAATTCAGTTTCCTCATGTGTTGTTTTACTTTGTAATTACCAAAATGAAGTGGCTTATAAGGTAAATCTACAGTTACCATGTGTATAAAATCCTAAGCATCCAACTAGAAAAGGCTTGAAAAAGGTTGAATCTTATTTTGCTTTTTCTATTTCGTATTCAAATGAAGCTCAAGGACTTTCAGAGATGAATCTGAACTATTGGAAATATAGCTTGGGTTTAGAATCAATTGCCTCATCAGCTGGGAGAAACGAAGGGAAACCAATTACTTTAGGCCGCCTTCAATTACCATGGATCATGAAATTGTGGTAAAAGTTACGGACCACATGTACCGATAGGTAATACGTGTAATATCAATTATCTGAATCGGATATCCAATCAAATAAAATATGTCACATTCGATAATCAGAATAATATTTTTGTTGAAACTAAACTTTAAACGAATCATATAAGACGTAATCTAATCTTTAACAATAATTTAAAACTTGGGGGCGTTTTAATCATTTGAATAAAAACCAAATTGCAACATACTTGGACATGTTTCAAGCATGAAATATGCTATAAATTAATTTCCTACTTCAAAAACATGACACAATAACAATTAGCCTGTCTTGTAAATATTTGTAGCAAAAGTACTAATTCATTGAGCTTTAAATCATTTTAAACATTCCATTTCATTTATAAGTATCTCATTTTATCATAATCGCTGCATACAAATTTCCAGTAAACATATCAACAATCTTATCCACTTTTATAATATTTACTCATCCTTCGAAATATCATATTATACTTGTGTAAACACCAATTTTTCATTTTACTTAAATTATTATTAAAATTATTATTATTATTAAATATTATTAGATTATATATATTATATTATTATTAAATAATTATTATTTACAAACAGGCCCAACAAAAACTGGATCGGCCCAGTTACAAATAAAACAGAACCGGTCCAGACCAACTAGAAACCCTAAACATTTGGGGTTTCAGCTAGGGTTTCTAAACCCTAGCTCCCAGCCGCCGTTTCCAGAAGCCCCGCGCGGCACTGCCTCATGTTTCCAGAAGAGCCCAGCTGCCACCTCCAGGTGTTCCACCCCGCTGTAGCCACGACATCACCGCCTCTTCGAAGACTCTAGAAACATCACGCCGGCCGTCCACGTCTCAACTATGGGTGAGTCACCACATAGTTTGGTGACTTACCGAAGTTTCCACTCTTTAACCAGTCCGAGAGGAGCGCCGTGGTGGCTATAAAAGCCACCGTTACCTGCAAAATAAAGAACACACAGCCACGGAGAGTGAGCAAACCAGCAACCACAAACACCAAAATAGCAAGGAAAAGACGGAGAGATACTCACCGGAGCCTTCACACGTCACCGGAAACCTTCGAAAACCGAAGGTATCTTCTTAGATCTGCTCCAATTGGGGGCTATTTAAGAAAAAAAGGTTATCGAAATCGTCTTTAAGACGGCCTGATCTATGTTTTGGGAAATTTTGGAAATTCCGGCCACCATTTACGGTGGCCGGCGGCGGAGGTGTACGGTGGCAGACGACTGCCGGATTCCCTCCGGCGAAGGAAGCTAGAGAGAAGCCAAAGACAAATTCTGGCTCTCTCATTTTTGAGAGAGAAGAGGGAATGAAGAAATGAGAGAGCTGGCCCGAAGGGCCAGCCGTTTCGGGTATTTAAATACCCTCTCCCAAACGACGCCGTTTTGGGAGGGTATTTCTGTAATTTCATAAAGGGTAAACCCCGTCCGCAGTGCTCCAAGTTTGTATACCTTGCAATTTAGTCACTGAAAGCAATTTTTGATTATTTTAATTTAGTCTTCTAATTTTATTTTATTTTAATTTAGTCCTTATCAGCATATATATATATATATATATATATATATATATATATATATATATATATATTTTTAGGTAAATATCAAATTTAGTCCCTCATAGTTTAGTAATTATTATTTTAATCCCGTATTATGAATTATGGTTAAATTACACTTTTAATGCCCACCTTTTATATATTTCGAATTAGGATTCTAGTTTTATAATTTTACATTTTAATCATTAAATTTTCATTTTGACTATTTATATTTAATATTTTACATTTTAATACTATATTTTAATTCCTTTTATTTTAATCATTATTTGCAATATTATTTATTATTATTACTTTAATTATTATTTCATTATTATATTTTTATTATTTATATAAATAAATATATATATAATAATATTTGTTTATTTATTCTATTTGTTTTCTATTAAAATCCTATATTTCATAAATTACTTTTAATAATCATATTTTAATATATATTTATTTTTCAATATTAAGAAAATGATTGTCTTAAAACACCTAGAAGTACGTTTTCTGATATTTTTACTAAATATTCTATTTTTATAAATCCTATATTAACTTTTAATAAATGTTTTATTTATTTTTATATCAAAGAAAAGAGCTGCCTTAAAGCACCTAGAAGCCCTTTTATGATATTTCTAAATAAATAAATATCTTATTTATATTAATATATTTTCATAAAATCATAAATTTGAAATAAAAAAGATTATAAATTAAATATATCTTTGAATTTTTAATTTATAATAATAGAGACAATTTATAATTAAAAAGTACCAATTTTGGGCGTTATAGGGGTGCTAATCCTTCCCTAAACGTAACCGACCACGAATCCCTTTTTATTATCAAAAAGAACGAATTTTTGGTTAAAACGCATATCAGTTTATCTTTTAATCAATGTTTTGTTAAAAAATCTTTTAAAGGATGATTTTTAGGTATTCGACCTACCTGATCCAAAAGGCCGATGGCAACTCCCAAATTATTTTAAAAACCATTTATTCACATCACTTTTCCCGCCAAGTAAAAAATTCATGCCCGGACGAACACCGGTTACGACAGCTTGGCGACTCCGCTAGGGATCGCCAAACTTTAAAATTAATTATAAATTGTGTCTATTGATTATAATTAAAAAAATCATATATTTAATTTATAATTCTTTCTTTTCAAAATTTTTATATATACTTATTATTTTTATAATATTTATATGTATATTTTTTTATTTTTTTTCAAGTATTTTTTTTCATTATTTATTTGTTTGTCAGAGGTTTGAATATTTCTCCTCACACACAACACTTGCATTGCATAACATAAGCTTTCTAATCAAGCTTGTCCCTTTTAAGTGGGAGTGAAAGCGACGTCTTCGTGAGAATTTATTCTCTGTGTCAGACCTAGCAAGTAACTTTCGGGGTTCATATGCTCTATGTCTTCGTGAGAATTTATTCTCCGTGTCAGTCATAGAGAAATGTGTCCCCTCGAATTGAACTCGATCCGCTTAAAGTCTGTAATGGACTAGGATTGAGGGTTTTGACAGCCCAAGGGGGCATCAACAAGGACAGTTCGAGTACCTTTACTCCTAGAACTGAAAACCTGCATATAATAAACCCTAGAAACTCTCCCGATCTGAAACCATTTCAGTAGGTATACACAAAGGAGAAATAAGCTCTAGATTTTAATTAATTTTATTTCCTTTTCTTTTTCCTGAATAAATGCATGCGAACTAGAAATCATGCGGTTAGGTTAAATTTTCCAAACAAAGCATGGAACTAGAAAGCATGAGGTTAGGATTTATTATATACCATGATAAATAAATTTTTTTCTTTCAATTAGTTGGTATTAACCATTTTATTTTTTCTTATTTTCCCATGCATGTTATTTTTGCTCTAATTTGTTTATATTGTTTTCTTTTGTTTGCATTGCATGATCATGACCAAAAGGTGTTAACTGAAAAGACTGTTCATCAAATTGGAAAGAAATCATAAATGGACAAAAAGTTTTATGATCGAACAAAATATGACGCAACCGTGGAATGGCATCTTGAGGGAACTCCAAGGATAGAGGAGAGCTATGTACCCAAAGATCGTATGCCCATTAAAGATCAAAAGGAGATACGTGAGATAAGAGAGCAGATGTCCAAGATGATGGATAGAATATCTGTTTTGGCCAAAAGAGAAGAGATTCCTGCACAGAAAGAGAGAAAGCTTAATAAAGATAATCCTGCAATTTCAGATATGCAAGGGACTTCTGATCCTAACCAACTTGAGAAATTACAGACAGTCATCATTCATATTCACAAATCGTCTGGAGATACCAAAGAAATGGTGACCACTGTAAAAGCTCTCAGAGATGAGAAGAAATCATGTAATCAGAAATCATCAAAGTTTGGTCTGCTCCCGATGTCTAAAACTCAGGTTCAATCCAAGACAAAAGGCGGTTCTCATGTTGATGCTATACCTATATCATATAAAGAGTTGTATGAAAAGTTACTTAAAGCACGAGAAATGGCTCCATATTATATAAAATCATTCCAACCTCCGTATCCAAA